TGGTTCTTTTTAATTTTCTCTAGTATGGCCAAGTTTTCTTTTCCGATGCCATCATCTTCAGATTTCTTGCCCTCAGCTGGCTCTTCTTCTTTCATCTCATAGTGATCTAGGTCTTCTGTGTCCTAGGGGGATGTGTGGGGTAGGAGTGGGATAAAAGAAAGCAAGCAACACGCATTGTGGAGAAGGGCTTTTCCCTTCTCCAGTCCCATTATGACTTAGAGCTGCAGGTGGAGGAAGACAGACAGCTGCAGTCTATCTGGCAGTCAAGTGAGTACAATACCCTTTCCACTGCTGGAAAGCTCCCAGCCCCACTCCCTTCACAATCTAAAAGACGAGGCAAATCTCTCCTATTCAGTTCTCAAGCTGCAGGGCTAAGAAAAGGTCTAGGGAAAGCAAGCAAAGACTCGGCTTTCTTGTTCCCTAGACCTACCCTGGCCCAACTATCCCTACAGCTCTCCTTTGGCAGCACAAACTCTTCCTTAATTCCTAGAATGACTTTGGCCTGACACTGTGACTCAAAGCTCATGTTTCATCAGGTGACTTCTGTACCCAGGAGTTCCCAGGACTCCAGGTCTAAGGGAGAAACATCCTGCCTTCCCAAGTGCAGGGACTGAGGAGATAGGCAGAGGTACCCACTGCCAAAATGGAAATAAGGAAGGGGGTCCAGAATGCAGAGGGCAGAGGTCAAGAACAGAACCAGCCCCTATTCACCCTGCTCGAAGTGAGGAACTAGTTCATTGTACATGGGGAGGAGCCCATATCAGCCAGACTTTGGAGGGCTGTCTGCATCTGACAGGAGAATGTTTCATGTATCCTGCGCCCTCTGTGCAGTTTAAGACCCTGACAAATTTACAGAAGCTGCAGAACCTAGGATGCAGAGAACAATGTAATCATGTTCTCCTCTCTCTGGCAGGATATGGTGATACCAATTTCCTAATTATTATATTAGTTGCTGAGATGCTAGACACACTAGCTCATTTAGTTCTTATAACCACCATGACATTATTTTACCATTACTCCCATACTACAAATGAGAATGCTGAGGTCCAGGTGAGGTTATCATGCCCACAAAGTCGTACAACTCTTAATAGAACTAAGATGCACATCAAATTTGGCCTGGCCCGGAAGTTCAAGTTCTTAACCAAGTTGTTTTTAGAGAGTATCACCAATCATTTAGCACTTATGTACTGAATGGAGGCTTTCACATGCAATGCCTTATTTAAAGACAACCCTATGTAGTAGATATTAACATCCCATTTTATAAATAAGAAAACTGCAGAAGTTGTACTTTAGTAGAATAGGTAAAATCCCCCAATCAAGAGAGCTGGAAGATAGAAGATGCAAGCTCAGGTCTGACTACAAAGCCATCCAGGTTAACACAGTGACTATTTAGTGTAAACAGATTTGCACTTATCTATCTTCGGCGGTTGGACATGGGTGCCCTGTCTCTACTACACTGCTGCCCCCCCAGGTCAGTACATCTGTCTTTATTCATTTGGTATTTCTCTCTACCCAGGTCCAGACTGGAGCTCTGTACATAGCAGGCTCTCAAAGCTGCTGACCAAAAGAAAGGCCTACCAGTACCGTCTTGGGTATAAGCCTACCTCAGGCATCTCTTCATCTTCATCTTCTGAAGACACGTCTTCCTGTGTACACTGCAGTGGGGAGGGAAAAGATGGAGGTCAGACCTTGGCGGCTTCCTAGAACGCAGCCTCTGACCCACTCCCCTGAGCCTCTGGGTGTGGAAGCTGTGCACCTGCCCATAAGGCTACCAGCCTCCCCGCCAGTCAGAACTGTGCGGAAGCGACAGTCCAGGGAATGACTTCACCACCAGGGCACTACACGCCAACCAGTGAGAGAAGCACAATGGCTGTTTCTGCCACCTAACTCACAAATCCCTGTTTAATCTCCCCAAGAACCCCTGTACTCAATCATCTCTAGACTGAATTGCATTCTCGGACCTTAACACAGGGCCTCAGTCCCCAATGGTCACCTACTGCTAACGGTAAACCCCCCCCGAGGGATGACCTTGCCCAGGAGAGAGTTTGATCAGAGGGGTGAAGTTATGGGTGCCCATTTAGCTAGATTCCGAACATCTGGAGGAGAGGCCAAGTCATGGTATGTGTACATGTCTGGAGTAGCACTGGAGAGAAACTTCTGCAGGTTCACCTCAATTAACATGTATTTCCTGAGTGCTGTTTGTGGGGGTAACAGGGTTCAAAGCCCCTCAGGTGCTCACCTGCTCGGCTGGCAAGGGCTGATCCAGCATCTCCACATCTGGATGCTGAGGGAGGTTATAGAGTTTACACAGGTCGGAGATGATCCTCTTCAGAT